AAAGTGAAATGGAATCTTGTTATGGGAGTGAAAACAGAGAAGAAGAAATGGCATTAGTTCTGGTTGAAGATGAAGTGCAAGCGATGCATGCGCTGCATGACCCAGAAATTGAGGAGATTCTGTCTTTGACCCTGGAGGGGGTGGACTTGGTAGAGGAAAATGGTCTGAGCAGTTCGATTTGGGTCCTGGAGAACGTCCAAAAGTTCAGCAGCATGATGGGTATTCCTCTTACTGGTATGGAAGATTATGTTTTTTTTTTCTTTACTGAAATTGAAAAGAGAGTCTCTAAGTTAAAGAAAAAAGAAAATGATACAACAAAAAAGAAGAGAAACAGAGCGTAGGCTTTAAGAGGGAACTTATGAGATTTGAATCATCAGTGAACTATGATAGTAGGAGGTTAGGGGGGAGGAGGTCAGAGGGAGTTAAAATTTTGTCTTAATGATTAACAAAATAGTGTCCTGAAATGTTAGAGGTCTAAACAATAGGGGTAAAAGGCTGATTCTGCGTGATGCCTTGCTAGGTGGAAGTTGGGTATTGTTTGCTTTCAAGAAACAAAGCTGGAAGATTATACTGATAAGGTTATTAAAAGATTATAGAATGTTTTGGATGTGGGTTGGCATACTATTCCAACAAGGGGAGCTACGTGTGGTATCATCATAATGCGGGAGGTCCAATGCTTGGGGGTGGTTCAGGGGGTGACTACACGGTCTGTCCGGTTTCGTAACTGCTGGGGTGGACTCAACTGGACTTTCGCTGGAGTCTATTGTCGTGGGTCTAAAGAGGAAAGGGTGCAGTTGTGGAAGGATATGGATGAGGCCAAACGTTTTGGGGGTGAAAATTGGATAGTTGGTGGGGATTTTAACATGGTGTTGAAAAGAGAAGAGAGTAGTAGCAACATTTTCTCCTCAACTATTGCCGATGAATTTTCTGATGCTATTGATAGCCTGGGGTTCATGGATATGCCACTGATAGGGGGCAGGAGGACCTGGTCCAACCAACGCACCTTGCCCTACTGGTCTAGAATTGATCGCTCCGTCATTTCTACCCAGTTTATTTCGTTACTCAATTGGGTGATTCAGAAATTACTACAGCATCCAATATCGGACCAGTTCCCATTGTATCTGGTTGCTGATGGTATCCAATGGGGCCCCATTCCTTTTAGACTTGATAATAGATGGTTGGGGGCGGACCGTTTTAGAAGTTTGGTTGAGGAGACTTGGAAAGGTATTTCTGTTCAGGGCAAAGCTAGCTACATTGTAGCCTGTAAACTAAAAGCACTCAAAAACGCGATTAAAGAATGGAAAAAGATTGAACTGAAAAAAGAAAGGGAGGAACTTAACTGCTTGTTTGACGACCTGGGGGATTTGGATAGCAAAGAGGAAGTCTCTGGTTTGACCGAGGAAAGAGAGGGTGAAGAGGGAAGATCTAAAAATCAAGCTGGCTAAACTGATGTGCAAGGGTGAGGTTTCATGGAAACAGAAATCTAGACAGAAATGGTTAAAAGAAGGTAACCACAACACTAAGTTCTTCCATACTTTGGCGAGTCACAGAGGAAGATGCAATTTTTTGGGTGAATTATGGATTGACAACAAGAAGTTGAAGGTAATAGCGCCATGAGGGAGGCTGTAAAGGAGTTTTTTTCCGGGTTATATACGGAAGAGAGACTTGGGCGCTCCAGACTTGATGGGATACACTATAAGACCATTTCTGAGTCAAGCCGGCAACTACTGGAAGGTGAATTTACTGAATCTGAGGTGCTGGACAGCCTCAAATGCTGTAACGGTGACAAAGCACTGGATCCAGATGTTTTTAATATGAAGTTCCTTCAAGATTTTTGGCTTCTGATCAAGGAGGAGATTTTGTGACTGTTTAGAGACTTATATGATTCAAGCAAGTTTGTGAGGTCCCTTAACACAACTTTCATTGTTCTAATTGCAAAGAAGAGCAGTGCTAAGGAGATTAAAGACTTCAGACCTATTAGCCTTGTAGGATGTATTTACAAATTAATAGCAAAAGTCCTTACAAATAGACTCTCAAAAATCTTAGGGGAAATTATTGGGGAGTGTCAACATGCATTCGTGGGTGGTAGACAGATTTTGGATGCGGTTATGGTTGCTAAAGAAGTGGTAGATGACTTAATTTCTGGAAAAAAAGGTGTTGTGCAAACTTGACATTGAGAAGGCATATGATCATGTAAGTTGGGACTTTCTTCAGTACATGATGAAAAGAATAGGTTTTGGGCATAGATGGATTAGGTGGATAAACAGTTATATCTCTACTACATCTTTTGTTGTAATGGTTAATGGCGGGCCATCCACTTTCTTTTCTGGATCGCGCAGGCTGCATCAGGGTAACCCCCTATCTCCGTTACTGTTTTTAATTGTCACGGAGGCGTTGAATGCACTAATTGATAAGACTATCGAATTGAATTTGCTGAAAGGTATAACTGTAGGAAAGGGCACTAATGCTGTTCAGGTGTCACACTTCTTTTTCGCCGACGACTCCTTAATATTCTGCCAACCTAAGGCTAGAAATCTCCTACATCTGAGGTGTGTGTTGATGTGTTTTCAATTGATTTATGGGCTTAAAGTTAATCTAAGAAAGACTAAGTTGGTCAGATTTGGTGACACAAGTGATGAGAATTATTTGGCTGGCATCATGAGTGTAAAGCTGCCAAGTTATCTATAATTTATCAGGGTATTCCCCTGGGTTCAAAATAAAAAGACTCCAGTACTTAGGAGCCGATTATTGAGACTTTTGAGAGTAGATTGGCTGACTGGAAAAGAAAATTTCTATCAAAAAGAGGAAGGCTCACACTTTAAAAAGCACACTCACCAACTTACCCATCTATTATTTATCCACTCTTACCCATATACCGGTGAAGGTTGCAAAGAAACTAAAGTCTATTCGGTGCTGTTTTCTATAAGGTGATGACATGGTCAAAAAGAGATTTCACTTAGTCAAATGGATGAGGTGAAGAAACCTGCATCCAGAGGTGGCTTGGGCATTAAGTCTCTTGTGGAGATGAATGCCGCTCCATAAGGAAAATGGCTTTGGCGGTACTTTAATGAGGATGTTGGGATTTGGAGGAAAATCATTGCTGCCAGATGGGAAGATGCAAATAGGGAGCTATTAGCAGGGAGACTCAACCGTCTGCATGGTTATGGTTTATGGAGGAAAATTCTGATGGGGTGGGATAAGTTTAACGAATGCACTCAGTGGTGTGTGGGTAAAGGGAACCGCATAGGTTTCTGGGAAGATGTTTGGATTGATAACTTGAGCCTCATGGAGACTTTCCCAAGCATTTATGCTATTGCGCGGTCTAAGTGCATCCAGATTGATGAGACATATAAGATAATTGATGGTGTGGTCAGCTGGCAGGTTAATGTATGCAGAAATTTAAATGATTGGGAGGTGCATGAATAGGAGTCCTTAGCTGCAATTACTGGAGTTACAGCAGATTACTACATGCAACGACAGGTTTTTGCGGAAACTGAGCAAGGTTCACATTCTAGCTTTCGGTCACCAAAGGAAGTCTCTAGAAACTGACTAGATCATGGATCGGGGTTGTAGATCGGCTGGTGGTGTGAGAAGCTACTGCAAAAAATGTTGGATCGAGAGAGGGGCGTGCATCTTCCTAGTGAGTGTGCTCTATTTTAGTGAATTTCGTAGCCCATGTTTCGAATTCTAGCGGTTGGAAGCTTCCAGTGCCTTTGATGAAAGCTTCGTCAACCACCTCCTAATTATGGGTAGCGATCCATTTGAGAGCGGTTGACTTATAGGTTTAGGCTTTCCGTTCTGTATTTAAATTTATTTTTAAGGTGTTGGGTTTTGGGTGTTTGGTATAGGAACTTTTATATTTGGTACCCATTGATATAGGACAAATAAGTTAGATTGTCTACTTGAGGATTTGGATATAAAACTTAGACATTAGACCTAAGAAGTATTAAGCATCAAAATTAAGAGTTTGATTGTGTCCCATCAGTAGAAAATTGAGAATACTTCTCGAAATATTTTATTAAATAACTTAACTATCTCAAAAGTGAGATCATATAGGTATTACAATACCTCTTAAGTAACCTTTCCCAATATGATAACAGTTTAAGTAACCTTTCAAAATTTCAATACAGTTCAAGGTTCAAAAATGAGGCACCACATCGAGGGTTTTTTAGTTCTCATACTTAAAAATTCTTAAATATCAAATTTTAACTTGTTTGGTTGCTCATAGAACCAAAATATTTACAAAATTCTCAAATAAATCCCTATTGAATAACCAAGATATCTAAAAAAGTGAGCCTACAGAGCAACTTTCCCCAAATAGGATTCAACTAAGAAATACTAATACTTTTAAAAATAAGAACACTAAGTATTAAAAAGAATTAAGATCCTAAAGCTATCAGAATTACAATAATTGACTCCTAAATAGTACAGTAGTTTTATATTAAAGAACTATAGTTTCTAATCTATTTAGAAAGTCTAAGCCTAATCCGCCCTGCATTAGCAAATTAGCATAGTAATGGTAATCAATAATCAGCATTTATTTCATATTGTGCTATAGTAAGTCCATGCAATAACAAAAACTGTCAGGGAGAAGGGGCCTTATGGTAAACATGATATTACTGAGAAAGAAAATATTAGCAGACAGTGTCAAACTAACCACAAATAAAATATGGTAGCCAGAAAGTACATGGCATCACTTTTAACATTGTGCACATTTTGGCAGGATTTCCTCCTGAAACTGAAACATTTTCATTTCATTTTCGTATACAATAGGAGTCATTAACATTGACTGTTAATAGCCAATCTATTCCTCAAATAACTTATCAAATAGCTTAAACTATAGGATCATAGTTGTTATACCTTTGGTCATTGATAGTCAAATCTATTACTGAGCAACTAATGGAAGCCCTACGTAAAATGAGATTACTTAGCGCAGTTATTACAGAAAATATTTTGCACAAACAAGAAAGCAAGACCCAATTCCTAACCAAGAAAATTACCTGCTTAAATATAGTGCTTGTCCCAGATCCACTATATCCAACCAAAAGAATTTCTGCAGAGTTCTGTGCTCAAGGTAGTCAGGAACAGTTCTAGTCCCCATACTGTTGAGTTGTTCTCCACAGGTGCTTGAAAAAGATTAGAAGGAATGGGC